AAACAATGTTAAGTCGACGGTTCGGACCATTTTGAATACCGACATGATGAAGCCGTTCCTTATGTTTCAAAAGTTGTTCAGATAGGAAACGATATATACTAAACTTCGCATACAAGAGAACAAAACCGGTTTTACAGCGAAGCTACATAGGACTGGTTGGTCGGGTTTTTTTTCGTCCGTCAACAAAACAGTAGCCGATAGAGTAGTCGACAGAAAACTGTCCTGCGAGCCTTACCATCTCTAGTGTGGTTTTGACACTTGTTTTAATAAAAAAATAAGAAAACCACAAAACAAGTGTCGAAACCACATGACAGCTGATAAGGCGCGCGAACAATGTGAAGCACGTAGCGCTACCCGCATGCGTTACTTGGTAAAGATTGCAGTTGCATAAGCTGCTGCGGCAACGGCAGCGTACGAAGTCCTTCATATCGACTTTTTTTGTTTTTACAGACATGAAGTGCCGATTGCGTCCCGAGCGACTTCCAATCGCTCCGTCATTGCAAGCATGTTGAGGTTGCTTATGTTGCCAGTGCTTGAAAGCATATATGCTACACGGACAACAAGGTTGCATATTCAACGAGGACATTCGGCTGTACGATTTAGCTTCTTGTAGGAGGCAAGTTGGTTTACAATCATATTCGAAACATTTGAACACATCTCCCGCTTCTTCGCTTTTTTTGGCGTTCGCATGGGGAATCGGTGGTTAAACGTTTCATCGACAATTCAGGCAGTGGTTTCAAGGTGAGCTTTGTTCATTCTTTTTATAAACCGGAAGTTCGCTGGGACGTCGTAGACTGGCTCACCACCTGGTGGCGTTTGCAAAGAAAAGGGTTTATATAAGGATGTTTTGGTAAAGTGCATTTACTTTTCTTTTGTCAGTCATTTGCTATAGTGCAGTGGAAAATCTTTGCAAGTGATACCACAGTTTTGCTGGCCAGCTACCTTCACAGCGTGGATTGAAGCCTCAGTTCTTGTGTTAAAGAATTTGTGAAAATGTCGCTTCTTTTTAACGCAAAATTTTTGTTCTTTGGAAACCAAACACGGAATTTCGATGTGACATATGAGAACTATGGAGCAAAACTGTCGATAGCACTTTTAACAGCTGAGGTAAGCGCCTCGCTAGCGTGATCAACTTTTGACAGAAAAAGAACATTGCCCATATCAACATTTCCTATGCGTCGATATAGGCGCATAGAAAATGCGCCTATATCGACGCATATAGGCGCATATAGTCGCCGGCTCAAATGATTACCTTTCGAAAATCAATAATTAGACGAATAACGCAACACGCGTGGCTTGAACGGAAGTGAAAACTCGAGAGTGAAAGCTGGATGAAAATCATGAGTCTGAACCCATTATCTGAACCAAAGAATGAGCAGACAAATTTAAACTTAAAATTAGCGTATTAAAGAGAACAAAACTAGAACATTTGCTACGCTATTTTTGATTGCAATAAGATGAGCTGGCGGGCTAGATGGTTCTTCATCATGAATAGCCTAAAACAACAAAGAAGGAAGGATTAGGTGGCCTCCAGTAACTCAGTTGTTGGAGGCCACAGAGCTTATTAAAATAAAACAATGAAATAGCCTTAAAACAAGTTATAGTGTTGCTATTCACAGTTCTTAAGGACCAATCTAGACCGGGGAAATTAAAATCGCCATATGTTTGAACTCGACACCATATTAAAATCAATTCGCTTATTGATTGCCTCAAAAATTGTTAATAAATACAGCCAGATCTAGCAGAGGCGGAAAGTAGTAGATGCCTATTAAATAATTGAAACCCTTCACTCGCTCTACTTTCTAAACACATTCCGGATAGGATTCAAGGCCGAGCCTTTGATGCGAGACAAGGGAAACTTTAGCAGCAATTAGGAAACCACCGTCTAGAACTAAAATGATTTGCGTCTGGGATTCCCTTACATAGCCACATTTCAGACGGACGGATGATATTGTGTTCTGCATTTATTAAATTGTATATGAACGGGTACGCTATGTAGAAGATTTCGTACACTTTGAGAGAACTATTCTAATCTTGTCCAACGTTTTCACAGTCTAGCGAAAGAACAGAAGGAACACAAGAGCAGTCATATAATCTCAAAAACTGATGAAAGGTGTTGCCCTCTGGCCACACGTCGCTATTGTTGAATAAATTAAATGGTGATTCATCGCCTGACAAGTAAAAAGTAGAGTACGTATCAAACTTCCTCGCGATTTTCCTGGAAACAACCGACCTTCCCTTCAAAAAGGGCTTGATTAGCGCGTGGACATCGGCGATACTCGTTTCAGGATGAAGCCGAGATACAAACAGCGCCAGACGGCGTGGCGTCCTAGGAATAGCAGTCACCTTGTTCGTTTTGGTGGTTTTAGGTGACGTCTTGCTTCTTCGCCGGGGTGTGACCGGTGCGTAACCCTCATCTCGTGTTCTGAGGTGAAGCACTGGCTTAATTAGCAGACGGCTAATCACGGTTCACGCCAGGATTCGGACGGGCGACCTCGCTGAGTGGAAATTTTCTCGAGGATGGCACAGCCGCTGGGTTTTGTACGGACGTCGATGTCGCGGGTGACTGTGATGCCGCGGATGCATACAGAGGCGATGAGAGGGACAGGGGTGACGGGAGCTGCACCCTTTCCACGACGTTTCTGCGTAGTTGGAGAACCTCAGAGCGAAGATAGGGGGGGGGGGGGTGTTCTCAGTCGTAAGCCACTTGACCTTTGCAGTTTATACATCCAGTTTGCCCGACGTCCCGTGAAAACGTTGTTGGGACGAGGGCATTATTCAGTCCAATTTTTGCTGACTTGTTCAGCGGCCCGGAAGACGGGACCATGACACCGGCATACACGTTCTGGCTGTTATTCTTAAATGGCATGCTGTTTATTCGTGTGCAGCCCGACCACTTAAAAGCGCTTTTTCCGCCTTCCATGTAGATGATGTATTCGATGTTTAGCCAGTTGGAGTGAAAACGCCGATTGGGGGAGCAGCCAGCCGACCAGAGAAGAAATTGCTGTTTCCCGTAGAAGCGGAGAGCGTATGAGGAACAAGCGTCTTATTGTGGAGTGCTATCAGACGCGACTTTCTTTGTCAGCTTCATTCCGTCGAATTGATTCAAAAAAATATTCAAAAATTCTGATAGCTGGAGACTAACGGTGGCGTTCAAAATGTTTTTAGGCCCGTACATGTGATGTACATGGCACAATAATTCACATGTTAATAGTATTATAAATGCCTACTTTCCATAACTGGGCGTCATCGCTAGAATTGGGCGCAGTTTTCCTACGCAATCCTGTGTATTCCGGTACTCTTTTTCACTAATACGAAACAAGCAGGAATTTCATTTTGTCTGGATTAGCATTGGCCACCCGTACAAAAAGAGAATAGAGAAGGGTCAGGAACGTTTATTTCGCATTTTAGGAACCTTACGTTCGTTATACATTTTACTACGAATATCAAAGACTTGTGGACAAACGAAGTTAGACTATTTCGTCCTCTCGGCGCTGCGACCTAGTTTTTCTTTTTTTCTTTGTATAAATATCTGCAAAGGATAATTGAATCCCCTGATCTAATGCCATCTTTTAACACTGGTGTTTCGAGGTGAGCTTTGCGAAGCTCTGCGACGTTTGATGAAAATCAAGGTATCGAAACTAGCTTCATATCTCGCATTCAAGTATTCTATAATAACCGTGCTGTAGCAGAGTTTGATAGTGCTGACCCATGTTTTATTGCGTTTCAATCGTTCTTTACTAGTACCCAATACACAAGCTGTGCATTAATACCACTGCTTCGGATGTTCGCGATCACATAACATAAATAAATTATTAAATGAATGAATTAAATAATTAATAGTCTCTTTTGGTGACACATTGAAACCTGCCTTTCTTATGTACAGGCTGCAGACCGTTAGCAAAGTGACTGTATTGAAACGCTTTCGCAATTTAGAATTACAATTAAATGCTCCAGGCACACGTTTCCATTCAATTGGACGCACACAAGAAAACATTTCAGTGCAGTTATATATTTCGTAAATCTTGATTATTCTTGAAACAACAAAATCTACATGAAGGGACATTTTCTCCCTGATACATCTGGTGGTTAGTACGTCAAATATATATTTATCTAAGTGGGTTGACCTATTCTATTATATCGGAGGCTAGAATTGTTTTAAATGGAGCGTTTAGCAGTGCAAAGAATATTTTGAACCGGTATTATCATGTTTTTTAGCCAATTTAATTGAGTGTTTGTTAACTTCTTGAAAAATCTGCTTTGCGTAACTCAAATGCGTGAACAAGACCTTATGATGCACTTTTCAAAGCAGTCATAATTATTTACTAATCTGCATATCTAAATTGGTTTCGCTACGTACCTAAAATAACAGTCGTTTAATACTTAACTTGAAGCTTCATGCCAACGTACTAAAGTTGCTGTCCTTAACGACATAAGTGAGTCTTAACAGACTTGTAGTAAGCATTACTAGACTCCCGCAAAATTCCAGTCTGCTGTGAATGCGAGCCCTAGACACCTGGAAGGTGAAAAGATAGTTGCTCGAGAACTCAAAGCATGATAGTTGGGTGGCGTCGCCTTATGGTCCTTCCCGGCTACGTGACATCCAGAACTTGCTCAAAATAATTGTGATCATCTCAACAATAAATAAAAAAAAACAAGATATCGCATAGAGTGTTTCAGAAGTCCAGTTGAAGCTAGAAATCATAGGACGCTTTTGGTCACGATATGTCGTCGACTGTTTCAGTCAAAGCCCGACGTGAGGTAAGTACGTTGTAAGTCATTTCACTACGCCAAGTACTCAATATAGCAGATTAGTCCAGATATGGTAATTTTATTTATGCACGCATAATTCAGTAGGTGCTTGATTATTTTTGTCACTTGACAGTGACATAACCAATAAAATGTCAAATTTAAAAAAATACATGTTAAACACATTTATATTTTAACACATGCACCCCAAGATATCTGCAGTTTATAAATGAATAGATTCGGCCCATTACCAACGTAGTCATGTGCACGGTGAACTGGTGCATCCACTTCGAAAATCTTGTGTGCGATAGACCCGTCTTCAGCTCGAGCCATAAGGCGAAGAGGAAGTATCCTCAGTGTGTCGCTGATGACACCACTCTGGAAAAAGAATTAGGCAAATCAATATTGTGTTAGTATTGGCTCATAAAGCGTCTCAAATAACGCAAATTCTAAAAAAAAAACAATTTCGTAATGATTGACCGAAATTAATTTAAGTATTTTTCTTCGAAAATGGTAACATTTCAGCGATAATGATAAGGGTACCAATACTTGAAAGGATAAAACGTCTAGGACGGCGACGGAAACAAGATTCTGAAAGATTTCCTGTTTCCGTCTCGGCCCTGATGTTTTATCCTTTCAAGTATTCGTAATTATTCACGAGCACGCTCGTTTTCAATCATTCATTAGGGTGTTAGGTTGATGCTTGCCCTACAATTGGCGTTCCAGACGCACTGAAATACCAATTACCCTGCAAGCTTCAGGCGGACTTCTTCAACTAATTAGTGAGTTCAAGAATTAAAAAAATAAACAAAATATACCTATCAAGCGAGTTTAATTTTGTTTGTTGAAGCAGAAATATCTAAATAAATTATTAATGGCGAATAATACCCAATGATATTGAACAGAAATATGAGGATTTATTTAATTATTTATTATGCATTGCTGCAGTCGTTTAAAAGACCCACAAATAGTGAAAATACAAAATAGTGACTTACATAACATATGATGTCTATCGCGAATAAAAGAACTTAAAAATAGGCAGACACAAGAGGTAGGCGATAGATCGGTGTTAGAACACGTACTTCCTTCTAAGCGCGCACAGACATTCGTTAGCAGAGTTTTCTCTTCGAGCAACATACGTAGGGAATTCTCGAATTTGACCTGGGCGCTAAAGGAAGAACGGTGCCGGGAAGTACATTTAAACAATCTATGAGCTGAACAAACCATGGTTACCTATCGATATTTATACGAACATTATTAGCAGTCCTTCCTTACAGGTGATGAACAATCCACTGAAAGATTGCTTTCCGTCTTCGTTTCTGTGGTTAGACTTACACTCCATGAAGCTGTTAGCACAAACCAGCCATCGCCGTGTGTTTTCTACTCTTAGACTTGAAAAACTCTCAATAAAATTATAGTTCTAAAAAGCAACGGCTATTTCAAAAGTTTCATCAACAGGATCCACAAGAAGCTACGCCACCCCATATGTGCAAGCTCCCGGCTCATTCCAGCAGTGTCTGCCTGTCGTACGTGAGGTACGTCAGGGAAGCCATCGGATGTCTCCTTTGTAAACATGGGATCGCGGTGACTCACAAGCCGGTGTCCACCATCCGTCACCGACTCCATCTCCCCAAAAAGAGACAGGGAAAGGATATGTCTCGATGCCTCGTCTACCACATCCCGTACGTGAACTGCCCTGCTATCCTACGTGGAGGAAACCAAATATTTCCCGAAACCGCCAAAAATACGACGTGAAAAAGTCTACGTTCAAGCTAAGCGCCCTCGCCGAACACGAAGCAAAATCAGGTCACTGCGAGTCTTTCGACACATTCGAAAACCCCTCATAGGGTGGCACTGGCGGAAATGTCTGCACCTGGAGTCCTGCTCAATCCAGAAAACAAAAGAAATCATGAACAGGTCTTCGGGAAGTCTCCGAGTCCTGTACGTCTCAGGACTCTGCCACATCATCAAAAACCAGAACTCAGCCTGCCTACATCAGCAGCACTTTTTCTGTGCACCTGACGGTCACCCGTGGACAAGGGACCGAGATGGTCCTAAAACGTCGGGAATTTTCTTTTTCTTAAAACTGTGCTGAAAGATTTTATTCTTCGTCAACGTACTTCGTTACAGCAGCAAAGCTCGGACTAAGAACACATATCTTCGCGCGCTAACGGAAGCACTACTGGGTATGTATATATATATATATATATATATATAAAACCCGTAGTGAAAACAGCAACAACGGACAATTTAATCTTCGACGTTTCGGCAGGACTCCGGCCGAAACGTCGAAGATTAAATCGTCCGTTGTTGCTGTTTTCACTAAGGGTTTTTTCTTGCCAGTTGTATACCTACGCCTTCGGCCTCCCGCCGCCATGCCCGTTGTATATATATATATATATATATATATATATATATATATATATATATATATATATATATATATATATACATATATCCACTCGTTGCGTTCGCTCGCCAACTAACAGAAAAAAGCGATTGTACAGATCGGCCAATTCATCATCAGACGATGCTCGTTGGGCCGCTTACAAACTGGCTTCTGATGAATACGTGGCGGCCATTAAAACAGCCAGAGAAAAATACCATAATACTACCTTACCATCCATGCTTGTAACCGACATTAAAAATTTTGGCGCGTGATAAATCCTGCTGATGATGATAATATTTCATTAGTTGACAGTTCAGGGAATCTCATTCCCCCTCATCAATGTCCGTTTATCTTCAATGAAATTTTTACGCGTAATTTTTCTGTAACTTCCGACATCTCACTACCAAATACCTATTCTTACGACTACCCTGCTATGTTCCCGATAATCATAGGTCCTTTAGGTGTCGAAAGCATAATTAGATCACTTAAACTTTCCTCCGCTCCTGGTTGTGACCTCATCAGCCCCAAATTTTTAAAATGTACGAGCGTTTATTGTTCAGTTATCCTGTCAAAAATTTTTCAACAGACCATCGATAATGGTTGTCTTCCAGCTGAGTGGACGGTCGGGAAGGTGATTCTACTTCATAAATCAGGTAACAAGCATTCTCCACTTAATTACCGACCAATATCACTAACCAGCATCCCATGTAAAATTTTCGAACATATACTATCTTCGAACCTCGCCAACTTCCTTGAATCTAATTCGTTTTTCACGTCGTCACAACATGGCTTTCGAAAAACCTACTCATGTGAAACACAATTGGTATCAGTCCTTCATAAACTAAATGTTATTCTTGACCATTCCTCATTAGTCGATTGCATCTTTTTAGATTTTTCAAAAGCTTTTGATAAGGTAAGCCATAAGCTATTACTCTATAAATTGCACCAACTTAACCTTGACCCAAAACTTCTTATCTGGCTTGAATGTTTTCTGGTTAACCGCTCGCAGTTCATTGTAGCGAATAATCACCTCTCTCAGCCGAGTGGCGTTCACTCCGGTGTGCCACAAGGCTCTGTGCTCGGACCTCTTCTTTTTCTTATATACATTAATGATCTACCCTCTTGTGTCTCTTCCCATATTCATTTGTTTGCCGATGATTGTGTTGTATTTAGGGAAATAACTTGTGAAAATGACATTAACACGCTCCAGTCCGATCTTAACGCTATTTCTGTTTGGTGCAAAACGTGGTGCATGCAATTGAACATTAACAAATGTAAATTTATGCGGGTGTCCAGGAAAAATCATAATCTACCTGTTTACCATCTTCATAACTCGCCCCTAGATGCTGTGACTAGTTATAAATATCTTGGTATTCACATCACATCAAATCTCACTTGGACAGTTCATATAACATATATAATTAATAACGCTAACCGTATGTTGGGATATCTTCGACGTAATTTTGCAAAAGTTCCCTCATCTCTAAAACTTTTACTTTACAAAACACTAATTCGTCCAAAACTTGAATATGCCGTTTCAGCCTGGGACCCTTGTCATGAAAATCTAATTCACTCACTCGAAATGGTCCAGAATAACTCTGTTCGCTTTATCTTGTCCAACTATAACAGAACTGCGAGCATAACCACAATGAAATTCAGCCTTGACTTACCGTCTTTGTCATCTCGTCGTAAAAACTTTCGTCTTTGCCTCTTTCACAAGTTATTTTATCACCCCCATCTCCGCACCGAACTTATATTACCTCCCCAATACGTTTCATCTCGATTAGATCACGTCCATAAGGTCGGTGTCCCATCGTGCAGGACTAATGCTTTTTTTCAGTCATTTCTCCCACGCACATCAGAAGAGTGGAATCGCCTTCCCGTACCAAAAGCTTCAATCGAAGACCTCCACCTGTTCAAGAACACCTTAACTAATATTGTATGAATAGACGCCATTTTTTTTTGTATTTCTAGTAACTGCTTTCTTTTACTCCAACACCATTTTTGTAACCACTCCCCTCTTCAATGCCAAAGGCCCTGAGGGTACATGTAATAAATAAATAAATAAATAAATAAATAGCCATTAGGACGCCTCGCTCGATGGAGAATACGGCTGCAGGATTCCGAGGTGACCATAGTCTACTAGTCATAGCAGAGCACTCTTCGAGTCAGCTCCCACCGCATCCAACGTCGAGGATGACGAGATCTTTCTGAGAGCAGTAAAAGTAAACAAAATTTTAAAACTTCAGTGACACGATATTGTACTGCGCGCTCTGATCAACCAATTCAGCGTACGAAAGAGCACAGTTCCCAGTATCTTCTGAAAAGCATTGCTAATCTTACCCATTCTACAGGGCGTATTTTACAAAAATAACTTCGGAGACAGCAACTCAAAGTGGTTCTTGGTGATTCCTTCCGGTGTTTAAGAGTATAGATCTTCCAAGCCTGGCCATGACTAGCCGACGTCCAGACACCTCGGTTGCAGTAGAACTCTTGATTGAATTCGCAAGAAGTGCTACTGGCATAAGCTCTTGAAAAGAGTTCTCCAGTACACAAGACTGTATCTTGAGTTCAAACGCCGCAAAAAAAAAAGTCTAACAAACTCATCAGGACCCCTGTGACCGAATGCGCCGCCTATTGCTCCTTTTCTGCAGATCGGAATCAGCATACCAGGACCTTTCCCAGCGTCGGCGTCATGGGACCGCTCCATAATCGTACCCACAGATTACCTGACACGATATGCCGAGAAAACAGCCTTTGCCTTTGGCACTGCTGCAAAGGCCGTCAACTGTTTCGTAGAATCCGTCGTTCTCCGGCACTGAACCCTCAAATTCCAGATAACTGACCGAGGGTCAGCGTTCATGGTCCAGCTGACTCAGCAGATCTTTTGGCTGAGCCACACTATCCATCGTCGAGCTACTGTACAATCCGCAAACCAAAGGACTGAGACAACGGCTCCACAAGACCATCGCCGAAATCATCTTGATGT